TCCCATATTAGATTCTTGATGAATGTGTGTTGTTGTTATTCAGCATGGTTCAATGTGCCCCTTTTTAACTTTGAGCACCCGCCCCTTTAAACCTCTCTGCACGTCCCTGGTAAATACACACAAAATCCCTGAGATATGTTAATAAAAGAAAAGAAGGAAAATATCAGCTGTAGATCTCAGTTTTTCTACATGATAAATAAATGTTCCTGAAAGCAAATGAAAAAAATCTGTCAGCATGACTCTTTTGGGCTTAAATTGTAAAAATAAATGTGTAAAATTTGCAAAAAGGTTCTGGCTGCAGATTGCCCAGACTGCCCTGCAATTATAAAACATAAAAAAGTTTTTGTTACTTAACAGAAACTGTGGACCTATTGTAAAAAAACAAACTTATATTGCAGAAAGTGAAAAAACAGTTATTTTTATGCCATGTAATTGTTTATCTATTATTTAAATACCTTAGTGTATGGCCATGGGAGAGGCCTTTATCAGTCGGAAATCCTGTAAAATTTATGAAAATACAGTTAAAAGTCCAGACTTTACACCCTCTTTTATCTTTTCCAAAGCCATTCAGTGGGCTGCATTTGAAATTTGGCCCACGGGCCTTATGTTTGACACCCCTGATTTAGAGCATATACTCTATACAGTGCATACTTTACAGCACTTAATTATTTTTAACTTCTTTATATCCCATGCAGATCATATATGGGTGTGTTATGTTACTGCTCTAGGGATGAGTTCTGTGCAGGCTGTGGTTTCATAGCAAATGACATACACCATAGAGCTTATATGCAACACATTAATATACATGAAGGAGAAACATTTTGATATGTTTTAATCAGTTATATGTCATATTTAAAAAGTACAAATAAACTTTAAGTTTCATATATCAGTGTGCACTTGTTTTCAGTGAAATGTTACACATTTGAACATGACGATCATTTCCATTTTCTCAAGATAGCGTCCAAATTTTTGCCGTCACTTAACATTTATCTGTATATATGAAAACGAAGATATTTACCCAGTTTACCAAAAGAAAAGAAGTTTGTAGGAGTAAACGGCAACAGCTGGTAATTGTAACAACCATTTAACTCTTTCATGCATGAATTATGACAACCTCAGTATTTTTATTCATCTTTAGGCATGAAAAAAAGATTTTTTTTAACTTCTAAGCAGTTAGAGAAATTTCAATTTCAATTAAATAAGAAATGGTTTGTGCACTTACACTGCCTGAAAAGTGGGTGGCAGGGTATGGAGTGGCACATGAGTGTCCAACGTAGTAGTTTATGTGCAAGTACACCATCAACACTGACACAAATACGAGAAAACAGCCTTTGAATAGCTGTCCACTGTAGTAACCACTATGCTTGAAAGGGTTAAAGGCCTCATTCAAAGCTGTGTAGCTTGTTAATTAACAAATCACAAAATAATACAACGTATTTCACCAGATAAATACATTGAGGAAACAGCTATTATAAACAGCAGCTAACAGCCATATTTTTTTGCCATTAATGCACAGCTTTTGGCTGTTTGACTGCGGCTGATCCATTAAGCCTAGAAATTAAGTCAGTTAAGTCATGTTCATGGTTCTGTTGTGAAATAGTGAAACAGCTACACCCTTTTGCACAACCTCTACAATGACCTACAATGACCAACCTAACAAATAACTAGACTAATAGACTAATATGTCAATATGTGTATTTCACCTCTGTAATATGCTATTTATAATTAAGTAAATATAAGTATTTGTATATATTAAGATAAGATAGCCCTTTATTGTCATTGCACAGTCATACTTACCATATGAAATTGGAAAGCTATTTATTAGAGCTATTTCCTATATTTTGTAAACTTAGTAATAAATTGTAATATTGTAATAGTATTTAGTTCAGTCTTTTACTGTTATTTTCTTGGAGCAACTGTAACCACATAATTTCCTTAGGAAAGTACTGTATTCTGATTTTGATTTTGTTATCTAGTATATGGTGCAGGATGCTGGTTCCGACTTTAAACTTGTAGAGGGCAGTAGGCAAAGCGCCAACTTTAATCTGCCGGAAACTAATATGTAGAAGAAGAAAAGAGTGAACACTGATTCCCTGTGCGTTGTTCTTCAGGCTGCAAGTCCGCTGCCAGCCAAAACTTTGTTAAAAATCAGTAGGCCCTACCAATTAGACAGTTATGTTCAAGTCATTACTTAATTAACACACTCACAGCGATGTTATAGAAGACATGGACTGTGAATTACAGCGTGCATATTTCGCGACACTCCCGCCTTTGAGTCAGTACTCGGGGCATATTGTCGCTTCAGTTTTCTAGAGTGCGCGGGTGAAGTACAAACTGTAAACAGCGCCATTGTTGTGCTAACGGAGGATATTGGCTAGAAGAAAACGTTATATTTGGTCTTTGTATGGCTAAATAGTTATTTTTTACATGATTTTTTTAAGGTGTTCACGTGAGGGCTAACAAACTAGAGAGTAAACGAACACGAAATGATTATTACCTGTTAACTCTGGTCTCGCGGTCAGAAACAGTCGGCTAACCATACTGTTGAAATAACGACAGCCAGCTAACACAAATGGAGATGGAGTACCCAGTCCTAGTAAGTTCTATTCGTGCTTTTGCACAAACTTATTACAAACATTACCCTAGCCCAAGGGTTGGGATTCAGACATTTTCCCGGTGACAAGTTTTAAACTTCCGAGTCTGGCTGCAGACTACCGTCTTTATTTACACACACCGATCGCCTTTTGTATCCATTTGAACATGACTTGTCATTTAACTCGTCCTCTAAACTTAATATTAGGACTGCATTCTTTAATCTCTGCAGCACCTGTGTGCATGCAAGGTGGAGTGGATGGAGACAAATGTTAGGGGTGATTTGTGACAGAAGGATAGCAACAAGAGTGAAAAAATGTTGATGGTAGTAATACCTGCTATGATGCATGGCTTGGAGAAGGTGGCACTAAAAACAAAACAAAAAAAACAGGAGGCAGGCCTAGATGCTAAGATTTTCACTGGAGAGACCAAAATGCACAGGATTAGAAATGAGTACATGTGAGGGACAGCTCAGGTTAAGTGTTTGGGAAACTGAGTTAGAGAGGCAAGGCTGAGATGGTTTGGAAATGTGCAGAACCTCAAAAATGGGTTAACTGAAAAGATCAATCCTTTCTCATTTAAACCAGGGTCAAACAAATGTGGGATTGCCAGTTACCAAGCATTTGCTCTGTTTGTTTAAGTTCTCTTTAATATTGTAGGATTTATTTTTTACCACCTGGACAGAGACTCTTATGAGATACTTGTTGTTATTGTAATTGGGAAGTCACAGTATATCTAAAACAAAACTGAAGTGAACTTGACTACATCCATGAATGTTATGATTCTTGTGAAGTTTTAGAGAGTTGATCATTTAGCCTTACATCTGTTGTCTCTTCAGACCCTTTGTATCTATTAGAACAGGGGATGTGTTTGCTAAGTCAACATAGTTATTCATTTAATCCTGGAGTGGTTTCTAAGCTGGTTTCTCTTCACAGAAGAGACCCAAGAGGAAGCTCTGTTACATTACTGAGAATGAAAGGTAAGTTTAAACACGTTTCTAAAATGTAGCTGTTTTATTTTAGTTAAACGTTTGTGTGTGTGTGTGTGTTTTAATATCTATGAGCTTCATAAATTCATTTTCTGGATTTATTCATGCTATTCCAGATTTATTTGTATTTGATATCACAGAACCGAAATTACAAAAGTTTGGAATTACCCTTTAATTCTTACCTTTGTTTTTCAGCCCAGCTAAGCACTGGGAAGGTACGTTGACACTGCAAGATATTGATAAGATCTTTGATGACATGGGTGAGTGATATTCATCCGATTGGTGTAATTCTTTGTTATAAATTAGGTATTTCCATTTTATTAACCTTTTTTCGACTTTTTTTTTTTTTTTTTTTTTTTTTTTCCCAGATTCAGCCTCACATGCAAATCTACAGCCCCCCTCTCCTCTGCTCCAGACTTCTGATTCAGAAATACACCAGAATAAGAGTGAGGACTCGGTCCCCCCAGAGCGACAGCTGATAAAAAAACCTCCAGGACACCAATTAGTAATGGTACAGTCAGTCGATACGGTGACTTCTGCTTATATTGCATGCATGTCCTAAGCTCCAGTGTTAAACATCTGTTGCAGTCCAGCTATTAAAACAAACAAACTTTCTAATGAATTCTTGTTTACTGGCTCAGCCATGAGTCCTTTTTTGAACAAGACAATATTTTTCGTAATTTGGGTTCATTATTTTAATTCACAATTTCGAATTTCTTCAGGGAGATGATGGAGATGTCTTGCATCCTGCAAGTACTGAACTGGATATCGGTAAGACACTCAAATTTGTGTTCATAATGAAAATATATGCCTTGTGTGTGTGTTTTTTTTGTTGTTGTTGTTTGTTTCTTTGTTTGTTTGTGTTTTTTTTTTTTTTTATTAAGATAAGATAAGGTAAGATGACCTTTATTAGTCCCACAGGTGGGAAATAAATGAATTGTTTAGGACTGGGCTTTTTCTTGTTGCAGATTTGGACATCCCCTTTAAAGGACATCACCCAGTAAAGACTTCCAGTCCAGCAGAACAAAGTTTGGCTGCTGAAGAAGAAAAGCAAGACGATGAAAAAGCACAAGTTGTGTCCCCAATTCTTTTTATGTGTGAAGATGAAGGAATAGAAGAGTTGAAGAAAGACTCTCTACCCACCCAGAATCCCCAGTGTAATGGACAAGTCACAGAGGAGTACGGAAATTCATACTTAGTTCCTAGCAGGAAATGTTGCCTCTACAATTTTTCATGTTTTTATTTTTTTATTTTCCACAAATTTTTCACTAATCCTGTTCTCTAGGAACGGCAAGTCTGGATTGGAGTCTCCCCCAAGCAAGATTGATTTAACAAAGATATCTGGCCACAAGAAGGAGATTGAATTACAAGGGTAAGGTTGCTTTTCATTTAAATACCTCGTTGGGTGTTTTTTCAGGAGGAAGAGACTTTGATGCTATAAATGTGACCATATGAGACCATTAATTGTACAAGATATTTTAGTTTTTTGCCATCTGCCATTTGCCATTTGCCCTTTTCTACTTAAAAAAATTTCCCCAATCAAACGAACATACACAGCAATACTGCACAACAGTAATCAAAGATGAACAATATTTATAGGCTACAAGATTATATAGCACATCAAACATACTGTATTGGTGATACGCTTCATTTTGATCAGTGGAGGCAGGAACAACGATTCAAAAAGATAGGGAAGTGTTTCTGGTCGCTCTTGAAAACGTTTTGATTATTTCAGTTACATTTTATGTCTTCTTTGTTTACAGGAGTCAAGAAAGCACACAGCCAGCTGTTCAAACAGTGAGCCGGAAGCCTGAAGTCGCAGCTCCTGTGGCATCCACACGAGCGGGAAAAGATATGACAGCTTTTCTGCAGAAACTGAAACATGCAGCACAGTCAAAACCTTTCAGGTGAGTTGAGATCAGAGGACACCTTTATAACTTGTCTACGTAAACATGTCTGCATGACATACAGTGCTGGGAACGTTGCTTTTTAAATGTATTCCACTACAGATTACATGCCCCAAAATGTATTTTGTAACGTTTTCCGTTATGTCTCTCAATGACACTAACATATTCTGAATACTTTGGAATACTTAATATATTATCATGCTTTTTGCAACTACATGAATGTACTATTGCTGTGGGATTTATTACTTTTACTGAAGTAAAAGTAATAAATCCCACAGCAATAGTACATTCATCATACTAATACCAACTAGATTTTTAAATCTTAATATAAATGAGTAACAGTAGGGTGGACATTAGGTAAGGCTGCACTTTTTGCAGTGATCTCGTATTAAAACAGTTTCACGCGTATAGAAAACAGGTCTGCGGCTCCAAACCATAGTAAAGGGACCTCTGGTTAAAACGTCGGGTTCTGTGTCGGGCTCGTAACTGAAAACTAGCTTTACTTTGTTGTCTGGGTCAACTTTGCTAGCGAGAGACAGAGAGAGGCATTGAAAG